TCTGGGCGGAATCTTGCGCCTGAAGATTTCATTATAAACCCGATTTGTCTGTCCGCGCGGGCGCCCGTGCATGGCCCCCCAGCAAGTCCGGCGGCGTTCTCGGCGATTCCTCCTGCAGCCGGCGCTGGGCGGCCGCGGCGAGCAATTCACCGCCCAGCCTCCTTCCATCTGATGGCGACTCCGATGATGATGATGATGATGACGATGGTGGCGATGATGCTGATGATGATGCTGATGCTGGTAACGGCGACGGCGATGGTGATGATGGTGATAATGGTGATGAGGATGATGGTGGTGCTGCTGTGGGCGATGATGAGGATGGTGGCGATGATGACGATGGCGATGTTTTTGAGAACGATGAGGACGGCGCTGGTAGATGATGTAGACGGTCGTCACGATCATGAAGCGATGCGAATCGATGGTGATGTTGGCAATGGTCACGCTCGTGGCGATGGTGGTGATGATTATGACTTCGGCGGGGGTAATCCTGCCAGGCTGATCTAAACCTTGATTTGTTATGATTCGCGCTGCGTGGCTATTGTGTTTGTGGCCCACCGGGCCCTGGCCCCGCCGGGCCCCTTCGGGCCCCCCCGAGCCATCGCCCGCTGGCCCCTCGGGCGCCCCACCACCCCGACACCTCGAACCGATCCCTGCCGCGCCGTCGACTGTGCAATAATACGTATAAGCCTTGCTCCGGAACTCTAAACCCCTCGGATTCTTGCCCACGGCGAACGAGTCCAAGATTGCACGCCGGCCTGCGGCGAAGGCGCCGTTGGTCGAGACACGCAATGCTCGATCTGCTCGAGAAAACGCAAGAGCGCGCTCGAACCACTATGGGCTCGCGGATCCCGCGACAGCAGGAAACGCGAAAGAGCTCCCAGGGGGTCCGGGGGGGAACGCAACATGGCCCACCATGCCGCGTAATAAGGATGGAAGATACGGAGGCAAGGGCCTCGGAGGGCCATGTCGACATGTGGCGGGGGGCGCAAGAGTTCGAGGCGTCGCCCATCCTTACTGCGCGGGTTGACTGCGGCTCAGACGAGGTGCCCGGGCCGCTCGGGCGTTCGGGCCCCATTACTTTGATGTCAACTGCGATTTCAACGGGACCCAGCCACTGATTTCGGCGGCGCCGTGGAACCCTGGGAGCGACACAATAGCGCTCTGCGTATTTTACATTATGTGCACGGTGCTGGTTGTCGCTGGGTTTCAAGCTTCGGCGTGGATGGCGTTCCCAGAGGAATCCGAAACGATCTGGAGATGCCCATGATGATCGTACTTCCCCATCGGAGTGGCCACTGCACTCAGTAGCGCGCAAAGAAAGTACGCTGCGCAATAGCCTCCAAATCGCCGCCACAAGCTTTTCCGGAATTTCCTGGGGCAAACCTTTCGCGCGCTTCCGACGCGGCCAGGCGCGGGCGCCTCGACTCGGACATGTCTGTTGGCCTGTTGGCCTGTTCCTGGATGGGCTGGATGGGCTGACGCCGACGCTCAATGATGCTCGCGCTCGTTCGGCAGTTCGGCAGGGGGTCCCAAGGCAATTTGCCACGCGCAACTGCCCTTGCTCTCTACGCCCCAGGCTGGGCCAGCCATCGCCACCGCTGCCGGCGCCGACGCCGCCGCGCAACCGCCGTCAGTGAAAGCGGCCGGGAGCTGCGAGGAGGACTTCCGAGAGGAGGACGAAGCGATGGAGTCTCAGCGAAAGAGACAAAGGAGGAGGAGGAGGAGGAGGAGGAGGAGGAGGAGGAGGAGGAGGAGGGGGAGGAGACTGAGTGACGGAGCTCCCCCATTAAACTTATGCACACCTGCTCGCAAATTTATAGCTGGGGCGGCCCGCGCGCAGCCCCAGTCGATCCCCTGTGAGCCGACCGCCCAGCGCACAATCCCAGCCGACCCCCATGGGGGCCGACGGTCTCGCGCGCGGCCCCAGCTGACCCCCTGTTAGCTGACGCGCGATGTCGATCAGGCTCGAGGCCGAAGAATGCCGCGGAACATGTGAGTCCAGGGATCCAGTCGTGACTTGCGGCGACGTTAGCAATTCGTTCTCAGTGCTGCAACCGCGCGAATCGCGCAAACACTGACACTGGCCGACGCTGGCCCTCGGGCCGCCGCGGTCTCTCCAGCCCCCGCCCAGGGCCCAACCCTGCATCGCGCGAACGAAACAATCAACTGGCTTGCCGCCCCTGGCCTCCGACCGAGCCGAAGCGGGGGCGCGGCTGGGGGCGGGCGAAGGAGAAGACGGGGGGACGGGTCAGCTGCTGGCGCCGTCATTCGTTCGCAGGCGGGGCCACCCATCCAAACTGGCGCTAGGCCCACCACCTGCGCGCCCGAGAAGGGCCGCCCGAACGAAGCACAGTCTCCGACGGGCTGCAGGCGCAGATCCCGAGGGCGGTTGCGGACGGCAGCGCGGGCGCAGTCAAAACGAAATGGCAGCATGCACAGCGGGCGCTTGCGAGTGTCCTCCAGCCTCCAACTCGACAAGCACTACTTACAAGGTTGCAGACATGCCTGCGAGAAAGACGAGTACACCCCCCGCCGCCTGAACAACATTAGATGGTTGGTGGGCACGCGGGGGGCGCAGCGCTGAATTTCGAAACTTCAACAGAGGGGGTGCCGATGACAAAATACAGCACCACGCAATTCCTAAACACTCTAGGCCGGAGTGGGCGACGGCCGTCGCTGAGCCTGACCCCGGACACGCCGCGCGCGACCTCGTCGCCGCCCAGCTTGACGATCTGGCCGCGCCGCGCGCCCGAGCCCCACAAGTTGGCGACCGCCAGCGACGGGGCGTCGCGCCCGTCGACGCCGCCCCTCTCCAATGCCCTCTTCAGATCCGCACTCCCTCAACCTCCGGCCATCATCCTGATCGTCATTCTCACTCCTCAAACAGTATCAAATATCATATATGTGGCATTCTGGAATCCAGGGCCCCGGCATCACGTCAGCTCGCGACTGCGCGCGCGCGCGCCCGCCGCGCAGGCCATCGGCGCTCGCGCAGCGGGGCCCGAGACGCGAGACACGCGCTCAACGCTCGGCCCGAGACATCATGATTACAGCGTGCCCCTTAATGAACCCGCCCCGTTTTCGTCGCACCGCGCGATCGAAAGGTCGCCGCCGTTGACGGCGCGCAGGCTGGAGAGCGGCTGGCGCACCGCGGCGGCGTAGCGCTCCGCGAAGAGTCTCGCGCCGAGCCGGGCGCCCTCCTCGCTGATGGACGGGCCCTTCGTTCTGCCGCGCAGCCCAGGCGGCGGCCTGCCAGCGCGCGAAGGAGATGAGACTCTAGACGCTTCAACATATTATCTTGAGTACCTCTGATCTTAAATTGCAGGCAATAGTGACGCTGGTAAAACCGCCCCAACTCACCCGCCCCTGCCGGCTACCTCCCCAGTAGAAAGCGCAGGGGCGCCGGGGGGGGGCGAGCTGAAAGCATCGAGAGATTGCGGGGATGACTGGAAAGAAAGCAGCGCCTGAAAAAAGAACAGAGCCACCTTCTGGCGCATAGACGAAAAGACATTGATGCTGCCTGTTGCACCGCAATTGCCTGGAATCTGGGCCCGCGCGAAGGGCCAGAAGACCGCGGGAACCTTATCTGAAACACCTAACTTGTATAAGTCAGCAATGACGTTCGAATGGAGAAGTTCTCCGTGCACTTTCCACGGGGATATTGACCACAGTAAGATATGTCCCGATTCTCTCCGTGCGCTCCCCTGGGCTCCTCCGCCCTCGATTGTTGCGAGATACTGAGGTCCGTCGAGCCCGCGCGGGCGACGACCCGACTCGACCTTCCAAACAACTCCTCAGCCGGGCCAGGCGGCGCGGCGGCGCTGCTAGCCAGGCGGCCCCCCGCTCGCTGGCTGACGGGGCTCTCGCGCCACTGCTGAGCGACGACGGCGCAGCGACGGAGCGGGGCGACAGAGCGCGGCCGAGGCCGAGGTTGGATTCAGAAAGAGGAGCCCCTGCGACGCGACGATGATGACAGTGATGACAGCAGCGAACGACTTTCACTGAAAGCCCGACTCGTCGGGGGTCGTCTTCTTCTCCGTCGCTTCTCCGTCGTCGTCGTCGTCGCCGTGGTCGCCGACGAGTCGTCGGTCGTCGGCCCGACGACCGACGGCGACGACGCCGGAGAAGACGGCGATTCGACGATTCCATCGCTCGATCGACGGCGGCGAGACGACGTCAAGCGGCGGAAGATGAAATGAGAGAGGAGGGAGAGGAGCTCGGAGGCGGAAGCAAGGAGAGGTAAATCGGCGAGATAGTGAGAAGACAGTAAGCCAGCGAGAATACTAGGAGGCGGCGCCGCCTCAATGTCAGGCTACACTTGCGGCGCCCCCGGCGCGGGCCCGTCGGCGACGTCGACGATCGCGACCCCCGCGGCGTCGTCGACCTCGACCGCTGCTCGGCAGCCCCGACCCCGCCGGCGACGTGGGCGCCCGCCGCGGGGCCATCCGAGGCAGAGTCGACGCCGGCAGCACCTGGGAACATTCGATAGTAGACGCCGCTGAACCTGCCCATTAGCCTTGTCGCCAAGGGCACTGGTAGACGCCGATGCATCGCCGTGAGTCCTGGCTGCGTCTTGTGCGCCAGAATCGCCGTCAATCGCAGGGCCGTCAACGGCGTCGGCCTCGCCGACGAGGATCACGTCAGCATCGAGCGCAGAGACGTCATCGTAGCCGTCGGGCTGAGCTGCATCCGCGGCGGCCCCGCCCTCGAAAGCCAAAGTTGGCTTCTGCTGGCGCGGCTTCTCCCCCCCTCTGCAGGCTGGGCGCCCTCGCGCGCGATGCTGCGTGCTGCCGAGGTCGAGCGCCCCGCGCCCCCCAGTCAACGGCGGGGCTGCGACCGTGCGCTTCTTGGCGCGATCACCGGCGCACTCGGCATCGGACATGTCGGCGAAACCAAGACGCACAAAACGATTCCAACCATCGACTGAGCGAGCATCATGGAAATGCCGATTGAACACGTTGCGAGAAGTACAGTGCTGCGCTGGCCCAAACAGCTCCAACTCACCGGGCCCCCCGTTCATCGGGCGGGGCCACCGCGGCCCTCGCGAAGCAGCCCGCGCGCCCGCGCTGGAACGCGCGCGGCCAGACCGCCAGGTCACGCCCAGCGCCCTCTTCACCAGCGAAGAGGACAACCGACCCTGCCGTTGCGGAGCTCGGACTGGCCGTTCGAAATGGCGAAGCAGACGACGCAGCTCAGTGCCTCAATTGGTTTCGCGAGGAGATGCATTCTTCATCTCCCTCGTTTCGACGGGCCCTGCCTGCTGGGCGCCCAGGCGCCGCGACGACGTCGCCCAGCTGCTCGGGCAGCCCCCAGCGAGGCAGCCGGGAGCCGCCGGCGCAGCCCCCCCCTCTGTCTGCCCGCCACTCCGGGCCGCCAGACGAGGCGACGGGCGAAGAAAGGAGAGAGAGGGAGAGAGAGAGAGAGAGAGAGAGAGCAAAAAAAAAAAACAAAAAAGAGAGAGAGAGAGAGAGACGGAGAGAGAGAGAGAGAGTGAGACAGAGAAACAGAGAGACATACATATATATATATATATATACACATGTATATATATATATATATATACAAGACTGCAGCGGCGCTTCGCGCCATGCACCTTGGTCCTTGAAGTTTGGTATCCAGGCGGAATGGCAGTAAAATCAAGCCGACAATTTAGCGATAACTCCTGCTTGCCTTTTCCGGCATCGCCGCTATAATGATGTTATTCGTTATCCTTCCTCCATGCGCCTACTGCTCCTTATTTTCGCCATACCCTGCGCATTCTCCCAATCCTTCTCAGCTTTTTTTTTGCGGAGGCTCCTCCTTGGAGAGCCTCTAGGGGCCTCACAAAAGTTGTTTCGGGTTTTCTTAAGGCCTTCTGGAAGCCTCCTGGGCGTATTCTGGGGGCCTCCGGGGGCTTCCTCGGGCCACCCTGCCTCCAACCGCCGTCTCCCTGAACGACCGAATCACGATTTGGAATTCTTCGGAAGGTGTCTTTGGGCCATCTTGGGCCGCCATGGGACTCTCTGAGCGCCATCTTGGACCCGTGTTGTGCCGTTTGGGGGCTCTCTTGGACTGCCTGGAAGCCCTTTCGGATGGTTGTGGGGCGATTTGGGAGCCCCCCAGGCGGCTTCGAACGCCCAGAAAACCGCCGTCTTGGAGCGCCGGGAAGCCGAATAGAGGAGAACCCCCAAATTTTCCCAAAACCAACAGAAAATCAATCATTTGTGCCTCGGGGGGCCTTCTTGGGAGTGCTCTTGGAGGCCTCTTTGGGGCCGTCCTGGAGGCCTCTTGGGCCATCTTGAGGTCACGTCGGTCACTCTTGGAGCGCTCTTGTGCTGTCTTGGGGGTCTTTGGGATGTCTCCGATGACCCCCTGATCGCCCTAAGTGTGCTGGGAAGGCTTGGCAAAACGCCTTGCGAGGCCCGGTGGCCGCTTCGAGGCCCGTTCGGAAGGCCCCCAAACCCCAGGTCCCGGGAGTGTAAGTTTTTTTTTTGGGGGGGGGGACGGGTTTTCCCCCCGCCCGGGCTTATAAAAATATAGGAAGAGGGATATTTATGTAGAGAGAGAGAGAGGGAGAGAGAGAGAGAGAGAGAGAGAACAAAAAAAAAAAAGTGATAGAGGGAGACAGAGAAGAGAGAAAGAGAGCGAGAGAGAGAGAGAAGGAGGGGGAGAGAGAGAGAGAGAGAGAGAGCGAGAGACAGAGAGAGAGAGAGAGCGAGACAACAAAAAAAAAAGAGAGAGAGAGAGAGACAGAGAGGGAGGGAGACAGAGAAAGAAATGCGGGGGAAAAAACAGAGAGGGACAGAGAGAGAGAGAGTGGGAGAGAAAGACAGAAAGAGAGAGACAGAGAGACAGAGAGAGGGAGAGAACAGAGAGAGAGAGAAAGAGAGAAAGAAAGAAAGAGAAAGAAAAAGAAAAAGTGACCGAGAGGGAGAAAGAGAGATAGGGAGAAAGAGAGAGAGAGAGAGAGCGACAGAGAGAGAGAGGGATAGAGAGAGAGAGAGACTCAAAAAAGCGAAAGAGAAAGGGGGAAAGAAAACACAAAAAGAGGGAAGAGAGAGGGAGAGAGAGGGAGAAAGACAAAGAGAGAGAGAGAGAACGAGAGAGAGAGAGATAACAAAAATAAAATACAAGAAAAGAAGAGAGAGAGAGAGAGAGACAACAAGCATGAAAGAGAGAGAGAGAGAAACAAACAAAGAAAAAACAAACAACTATCACAACAACGGAATAAGAGGAAACAAAAGAGGAGACAAACAGAGAGGAAACCCAACGTATAGAAAAAAAACAAGGAAAAATCACAACAACGGAACAAACAGGGAAGGACAACAACAACAAAAACACACAACGGAAGAAGAGAAGACAAACCATAGAGAGAAGCAACAATAAGGAACACATAATACTAATACTAATAATAATAATACGAATAATAATAATAATAATACTAATAATAATAATAAGGTGAGCAAGACAAAAAAAAAAAAAAAAAAAAAAAAAAAAAAAAAAAAAAAAAAAAAAAAACAAAAACAACACAAACAACTGAAGAAGAAAACCAAAACGGAAGAAACAAACAAAAACGGAAGGAACAACACGGAAGAGACAAAAAACGGAAGACAAAAACAAAACCCTTGGATCCTGTCTGATTTACGCTGTCGGTTGAAATGTTATCCAGATTTGCTTAAGACGGCTTTCAAATAGAACTCCTGAGACGAATCCATGGCGTGAGCTATGACGACGACTCCATGGCGTCTACCACTACGTAGAGATTGAACCATATTGCTTTTGAGAGGGTCCGCGAAGCCGAGGCCGGGGCTGCCGACCTAGTTGTTCTGACGTCCCTGTAAACCCTCGGGGGGAGAAACACAATGAATACATACTTGGGCGGCTCAAGGTCAGCCTAAGGCACGGGCGTCGACATCAGGCGAAGGATAGCGGCCAGCCCCACGCAGACCCGAGGGGGGGAGGGGTAACGCAACGTGGGCAGGAGGGTCGTGGCGACGACGACGACGATGACGTCGACGACTTCGACGACGACGAGTGAAGAGGAACAATTCGAAGCGGGGTTGTAACGCGACGACGACGAGAGACGACCGACGACGCTGACGACGAAAACCTCCGGGGGGAAAAATGACAAATCTCTCGCCGATGCTGGGAACGCCGTTGCCCCTTCCCCCCCCGGAGAGAGAGAGAGAGAGAGAGAGAGAGAGAGAGAGAGAAAGAGAACACAAGGTGGGGCGGACCCCCCTTTACAACTCTGAATCCTCCACGAGGACAAGGGGGAGAAGAGGGAGAGACAGAGGGAGAGAGGGAGAGAGGGGGAGAGAGGGTGAGGGAGGAGTAGTGCCGAGGAGTGCCGCCTCGTGGTCCGCGGCCGTCTGCACGCAGTCCGTCTGCGCGGTCTCCAGCTTCTCCTTGAAGTCGGCGAGGGCCTCCCCCCGCGTCCCTCCGCGGCGCCCGCTGGGGGGTTCCCAAGTCGGTACGGTGACGGACCGCGCGGTGAGATCGGAATCCCCTGGTTGCGTGATAACCGACCCCTGGCCAAAAAAAGCATGACTGCCCAGGTTGGATACAAATTGGCAACTCTCCGTCGCTGCATGAGCCACGTCTACATCGCAGAGCGGGGCGGGCTGGGGAAGGGGCATGCCACTCCTTGACACAAAACTTAACCCGATGTGTGGCCGCCGCGATCGCCGCGGCAACCTCCAAAACCGCCCTGGAGGCGTGGTTCGGGGTCGGATATCACGCAACGATCCCAAACCACCTCACCGCGCGCACCCGCCGCGGCGTCCGCTCGGTTGCCCAAAGGCCGCCCTTGGGCCGAAGAGGGCTGACCGAGGCCCGCTGAAATCCAGGCGTTTTCGCCTGGCGATCCCGCTTGAAACATGGAGCAGACAGAAAAGGTCTGGGGCTCATGTCGCGTTTGTTCCCCCGCGATGTTGTATCTTTTGAACCACGTCGGCTCTCAAGGGTTGTGCGATCCTAGGCCCTCGAGGCTCCGACCGCCCGAAACACCCTCGGACAACGCGACACGAGTCACAAAACCGTGCGGCCACCCCGAAATCCCCCTGGCTCACCACACGGTGTGGTCACCGCACCGGCTGGGCCCCCCCGAAGGCCTGGGGCCCCTCCTCAGAAAAAAAAGCCGGCCGGAGGAGCAACTAAGCGTCAGTTGCGAGACATGTTCTAATAACGTTTGTTACAAACCACGCGAAAATATAAGATAAATTGCTTGGTGGGCTTCTATGACATCGTTATACATTCGTCGGGTATAACACGGGTTACCTGTGGAAGCGGGAGAGAAGTGCAGGCCGACAACCTAACCTTGTCGCTTTGAGCAGCCCCACGTATGCCCCCTCGCACGAAAACTGAGTATCCCGTGCGGACCTCCGCATCCGACAAGGTCGAATTATCCAGAAGGACTGGGGGGGACAGGCGGGCCAGAAGAACCCAGCAAGCTATCGCTGCACCCGAAAGGAAGTCTCTGGGTGGACGGTTCCCCCCGGGGCCGTAGGCGACCCGAGGAGGGGAGGGCGAGGAGGAGGAGTAGGAGGAGGAGGAGTAGGAGTAGGATGAGTAGGAGGAGAAGGAGGAGGAGGAGGAGGGGGAGGTGCAGGAGCAGGAAGAGGAGGAAGGGTCGCCTAACCCATTCGGAGAGACCCTCCGTCTTTAGGCAGGCTGGGTCGCTGGACCTCGGGCTGCCTGCACCGGCGCCATCCGACGAGCGCCGGCTCACAGCTCTGCCAGGTGCGCCTCCAGGCCGCAGGCAAGCGGCCCCAACAGGCATGAGAAACCAGAATTATGTTGCTCCCATCGCACGTAAGGACTACGTCCCAGAAATAATTTCGAGCAGCCAGAAAGGTATCGAAACCGTGTCGAGCGAGCATCGCCTCCAAGGGCCCGACTCGTCAAAGCCCTCCAGTTTCGGTACTTTCTTGGTGCTCGAAATTCTTTCTGGTGGTCAAAGCTAAAAAAATGCGAACATCATGAGACCATAATCGAATCGATAAGTCGGAAGGGCGATGACATGAATCGAATCAGCGGACATCGGCAACCCAGTCTGGAGAAAACCGAGTCGGCGGAAATCGGCAGGCTAGTGAGGCATTCATGGAGAAGCCGACATCCAAATCGGAATCTGAAATCGAATTGAGCCAGAATCGATCGACATCGAATCGAATTGAGTCGGAGGAGTTGGAATGAGCCCTTAACAGGGCTCAGAGACAGGCGGTGTCGGAAAGGTGCGCATTTCTGCACACCGAGGTGCGCATGTCTTAACCCTCTGGCTAACTTTCCCACATTGCCGCCCGCCTCGCTCGTCCTATCGTTTCGTTTCCCCCTCTCGCCCTGTCCTTCACGTCCTCGTCCTCGTCCTCCTCCTCGTCGTCGTCGTTTTCATCGTCGTCGTCGTCGTCGTCCTTGCCGTCGTCGTTGTCGCTGTCAACGTTTCGCACCAAGGCGGCCGCCGGCAGCGTACTTTACAAGAGCGTCTCATCCACGCCATTCGACCAGCGCATCTCTGAAATACCCGGCTTGCTTTCTCTTGTTCTTGCCGTCCCCCTGACTCTTCCGGGATCAATCGGCAAACCCGCGACGGGTACGGATGCGATGCCCAACAACACATGCTGTCCAAGACCGACAGCGCCCACTGTTGGGCAGGTGTCCTCTTGTCTCAGATCGGCACGGTCCGCGGTGAGGCGGGCAGCGAGTCCTGCTCGAAATGGAAAGGACCTGTTGTTCGCCTTCGTCCCCAATTCTTTCCGTGCCCAATTCGATCGTGCCGAATCGAGCATGGATTGAGCAGGGACCTACCGTCCTGGCATTTCCAACGTTATAGGCCTGCAACGACATGTTCTTAGAACCTAGCAGTATTCTAATAACAAAACAATGTTGTTAGAACATGAAACCCGATCTGCTAAAACAAACCAGCTCCAA